AGAGAGAGAGAGAGAGAGAGAGAGAGAGAGAGAGAGAGAGAGAGAGAGAGAGAGAGAGAGAGAGAGAGAGAGAGAGATCAAATGGCCACAGGCCTTCACTTCTTTTTTACTAATCACGAAAACAAGAACATGACGCGTGTTCCCTTCACAGCAACCTCCATGTCTCTATGTCTCTATGTCTGTAGCAGCGTCATCGAACAGGAGGACAGAAAGATGAGGCAGTGCAGAAGCAATTCAACAAACTACCATGTTCCCTCGAACACAATGCACCCGCTCCGGTTTGAGACAGCCATAACGAGGGTGTGTTGTGCCCGGGGGCAGGCGGGGAAGACACTTTCCCCATCATCACACAGGAGCCAGCACAGGAGCATTTATTATACAGCATTTACTACTTATGGTCATTACAAAGGTGACGCATGAAAGAAAGGAAAAAGTAGAACAAAACAAAGACGACTGGAAAAAAGAAAAGAAAAAGAAGACTCACCATGTTCCCTTGCTAGAACTTCCATGTCTCTTGCAACCTCCTTGTTCCACGTCGTTATAGCCATGTGAAAGCCGTAGTCCGTGCACGATTTCATCGCCTTCTTCTCCCATTCGTGGAATCCTTTGATGAGATCTCCATTGATTGGGAGAGCAAAATCAATGTGCATCGTGGTACCTCCAGCCAATGCAGCTGCCTGACCACTGAAGAAGTCATCACAGGCCACTTCTCCCATGAAGGGCATGTCCAAATGAGTATGAGGATCAATTCCACCTGAGGAATAAGTCCGAATAACAGAGAAAATAAGGGCAAAATAAAAATAAGAAAATGGAAATCACCACCAACACAAAGGCATAATAAAGGTAAAAGATGGCTCACAGATGAACAACAGAAATTTAATGGGATTTGAAAATTCAGGGGAAGAAGAGAGTATACGAAATCGAAAGAAAAATCAATAATCTCACAAGTTAGAATCTGTTCAAATGCTGGCGATGATGGTCTTCGGGTAGGAGGCGCATCGCCGCATGCAGAAGGGGAAGACAGGGTGTGATGAGGGGAGGAGAGAGAACGTACCTGGTGTATGCCAGCGATCTGCATTGGTGATGATGTTACGTACATTGGTCTTCAACTTGGATGTGATCAAGTTGCATGAACGTAGATAGGGGTAGATAGGCTGAGTAGTATAGGCTGGGCGCTGGGCGCTAGACAGTAGGAGCGACAGCGGATACTGGGTTGGTGTGGCCAGAGAGCGTCGACATTGACATACGAGTCCATTGTATTGCTCTTATTTCGATGGTATCTTGGTGCATTGTTCTCTCTGCTTGGTACACGAGTAACTGGACTACTTCCGAACTTCGTGATTTTGCAACTTGGATTTCTGTCTATCGCTCTCGCTCATATTCCTTACATAACAAAATAATTTTTATTAATTTCATAATTAACATGTTCATAACTTCATAATGGTTTGCGTTCACTTTCCACTGTCTGCAACTTACAAGGGAATAATTCAATGATGGAAACTGAAAAAAAAAAAAAAAAAAAAAAAGAGAGAAAACGAATTACAAGTTATACAACACTTGGACAAAGTAAAAGGAGATGAGTTGGCAAAGCTCTTGAAGTTCGACTTTGAATACTTTTATTCGTTTGTGTGTTTGTTTGTGTGTTTGTTTGTGTGTTTGTTTGTGTGTTCGTTTTTGTTTGTTTAAAGCGGAATGGTCTTGAGATATTATCAGTGAACTGTCAGCCCGAGGTAATTCAGAATTGTTTGATTCTGTTCATCTGACTGCATCCGGATTCGAACTTGAGTCTGTATTTCAACAGTTCATGGGTGTACTAACGAGCTAGGCAAGTTGGTGAATTTTAGAATTTGTAACCTGATTTTTTAGTATTTGACACTACCCAATTATTCTGCTGCTCATTCAGTGCTTCGTTGAATGTTCGAGTGTGTTTTACTTTACTTACCTACTTAAGAATGCTTTGCTGTAACTCGACAGCAGGACCTGCGCAACTCTCTCTCTCTCTCTCTCTCTCTCTCTCTCTCTCTCTCTCTCTCACACACACACACACACACACACACACACACACACACACACACACACACAAACACCACTCACCTCATGTCTCTCCATGTTGTTACATGCCCGGTTGGGCGATGTACACAGAAAACCGAATGTATGTTTAGTCTGCGTTGCAACATTGATTGGGCTAGTCATTGATATTCTAGCATTCTGCTACGCTATCTTGCACTACGTGATAGAGGTCAGTCTCGGTCAGGTCAGGACTTGTATCTAAGCCTTCCCTGCGCTATAAAGCACCATTTTGTATGTATCAGAATGTACACTGCTTGTTGAGATTTCACTTGCACTGCATTGTCCATTCAGTCCTTTTTATCACATCACAAGGTGTGAAGAGACCTGGCGCTATACACAGGAAGAAGGCGCCAGGCACTGATCATGCACAGACGAAGAGGAGGGGAACAGACGAAGAAGAGGGGGAGGGATGGGAATGTCGTCAACACCAAGTCTTTGTCACAAGTCCCAAATAATCCCTCGTCAAAATGTCTGAAGCCCAAATGTCGAGTCTGGATCCAAATGTCACCAAGCTCTCTCTTTCTCTCGTAGTCTGCTGATGCAGTGAAGTCAGGTAGCGAGAGGGTGAGAGGGAGATGGTGGACTGAGAAGAGGAAGAAGAAGAACTCTACCGCTGAAGACTACTGCTCGCGCTACAACTACTCCTGCAGCGCTCCTCCAGAGTGCTCCTGCCGAATCCTGAAGACTACCTCCTGCCTCCTGAACTGCACGTGAAGTGCCTCGGAAGTACCTAGGAACTACCTGCCGGCCTGCAGGGCGGGCCAGTCCAATATAGTGCTGGCCCGTCCAGGAGGCTGCTCTTGCCAATGCCGAAACGTGCCAGACCCTGGCGTTGAAGCTCAACCAGGGGTTGTCTTGAAAACAGGCCCGAAATGGCCTGTGCTAAAACCCTGGCTTGTTGCCTGAGTTTCAGGGCGGGTCGGACTGATGAGGGCCTGAAAATGGCCCTCAGTTTCAGGCTGAAAATTCTCAGGGCCGGAAAGGCCCTGATTTAGCCTGAAACGACACAGGGCCTGTAGGCCCTTGTTTTCAGGCTTTTGGCCTGAAAACGTCACGGGCCTGAAAGGGGCCCCGTGCAGCCTGTTGCAGGCGCAGCATGTAACAATGTGTAAAACTTTTTTTTTTTTTTTTGAATACCATTTCTCGATCATCCTTGGGCAGGGCCCATGGTAATCTTCTCTGTATCGTTCCAATGTTAACGGATGTCCTGAAGGACATGTCTAGACGTTCCAATGTTACCGGGTGTCCTGAAGTCCTGAAGGACATGTCTAAACATATTGTTTTCTAATACAACACAACTTTGTTCATTTCATTGTATGTTATATGTTACTCTTTTCTTAGTATTTCTTACAACTGTGAGGAATGAGCCCTCGCGGGGCCCTTATCAGACATGCACATGTTCTGGGCAGAGGCCCTCAGCAAGCCCTGTGCCCGCCCTAAGTGAAAGCGGGCCGGAATATTCACAAGAGGCCAAAATTTGACATTTTTTTCCATGTGTGGGTACTCAGGCAGTTGCAGGGAAACATGAGCCTCCCAGCTCTTTTGAGCCCAGGTCCGGGTAGTTGTGACCTGGGCACGCACATTGCGAGGCAGATACATCACGTAGTGGCCACGGGCCTTCGAGAAAGCAGCATTGTCGACGTATGTACCCGAGGGCCAGTGCAAATGCAGCAACCGGCTGAAGTCTGGAAAATGTTGGGTGTGCCCAACTGTAAACGGCCCAGGCCCTCAACTGCAGAGATGGGCCTGGGCGAAGGCACTGGAGCCCGACCGGAAGCTACTGGAAGCTTCTCAGCCAGGCCCACATGCAGCCAAACAGAGGCTGCCACGTCCATATAGGAAGTAAGGCAGGCAGAGTCTGGCATTCTGGCCCACGCTGGCATTGCGGTCACGCTGCTGCGTTGCTGCGCGAGTGGCTGCTTGCTACGTTAGCGGCCAGGGGCGCATACGGACACCTGAGAGGTGAGAGGGGCGCTGCAGGGCAGCGGGGTGCGAGCAGCCATAGCCTGACTGCAGGGCGCGAGGGGGTAAAGGGAGATCAGTGGTCGTCAGGAAGGAGGCGCGTGTCGGTGGTCAGGGGGTGATGAGGAGAGACGAGATACGTACCTGGTGCATGAGGGAGGTCGGCATTGGTGTTGACACCATGTACATGGTCTTTCAAAGTCGAAGTGAGCCTGTTGCGTGAATGCGGCTATAGTAGGATAGGCTAGGTAGCGTAGGAACGGCGCTGGGCGCCATACAGTAGGAGCGACATTGGATACTGTGTTGGTGTGGCCTGAGAGCTTGAACATTGATTGGCTCATGAGTTCATTGTATCGCTCTTATGTGGATGGAACCTTGGCACTTCTATGCTCTCTGCTTGGTACATGACTACTTGGACATCTGTGCGATTTCGCAACTTGGCTTTCTGTATATCGTTCTCACTCGTATTCCTTGCACAACTGCTGCCGATAGGTTAAATGTAGCTACCTCTGCTGACCTGGTTCGATCTTCCTTGTGGGGGTTTGGAAACCACCAAGGCAATCGAAAACTTGTGTGCCATTCGAGGGACTCTGGGCATGTTTGAAAAAAACATAAAAAAATTGAAAAAAGAAACCACCAACTTGGCACGAAGTGAAAAAGAAAAAAGAAAAAAGGAAACCACCAAGTGAATCGGTAGGAGCCTAGGAGGAGCTGGATTAGAAATCTGGTGGCCGGTAAGATGGCATGTGTAGTTTGTGTTCGTTTTCTTTTGG